CTGGGGCAGCGACGGGAGCGAGCTGCCCACAGAGCCGGGGAGGCCCTGCCAGGAGCCCCACGGTGCAGAGACGCCATGCAGGGCTGTCAGCAAGCCCGAGGGTGTGAGCTGTGGGTGTGCAGACACATGTGCCCGTGGGGGTTCATGGGTTTGTGTGTGCCTGTGCCTGTGTGTGACTGTGGTGTGGTTGTGGTGGGCGTGAGTGTGTGCCTGTGTGTGCGTGTGTGTGCATGCAGACTCCCCGGAGAGCAGGGCTGTGTGCAGGGTTCCTGATGAGGCTCTGGGGAAGCGTGGCCGGTGGAAAGGGCAACAGCAGGACCTCCCTGAGCCCTGGGCCGTGGCTCCTGTCCGAGGCCAGGACTGGCAGAACCGTGCATTTCACCTCGAGGCCCACTGCTGGGCCCGCCCTTCCTGGGCTTCCTGCCCTCTGCACGGCCGGGCCTCTCAGTGGGGATGTGGGACATGTGAGACCCYGGCCCCTGACCTCTGCATGCTGAGGAGCCTCCTGGTTGTCACACAGCCCAGTTGTGGCCATGTGTGCCCAGAGGCTGGCCACCAGCCACCACCACTCAGGCTCCCGGGAAGCTTCGTCAGCTCCTGGGGACGTCCCTCTCCTGCCCTGAGAGCTGCAGAGACATGAGGCCCGAGGCGGGGCCTGGGAGCYGTGCCCGGTGAAGTGAAGTTGTGAGATGGGGCATGAAAAGCCCCTTTGTCCCCGGGACGTGGTGGCCCGGCACTGAGCCTCCCACCGCCTCCAGCAGGAAGTGGGCTGGGCTGGGCGGTAGAGCCCTCGGGGGCAAACAGAAGGACTTGTGTGCTCGGCGCCGGGCACTGTGTCCTCGCAGCGCTGGCTCTGGGCACACCCAGGCCTGGGACGGGCAGGGCCAGTGACTCTGCTTGTCCATTCATTCCGCAAATGGTTCCATGTGCCTACTGCCAGCCACAGGGCCCCAGGGGCCTTCCTGTGTGTGTGCGTGTGCCTGGTGTGCACCGTGTGGAGGGAGCACAGGCGTGAGCATGCAGGGCTTGCACCTGTGTGAGTGGCTACACGTGTGTCTGTGTTTATGTGTGCACATGCGTGCTTGTGTATATACGTGTGTCTATGTACATGCCTGAACATGTTTGCCTGTGGACGATGCGTGTGTGCAGTGTGTGGCCACCATGCCGGCCACAGCGTAGTTGGCCTCCTCCCCCTGACCTAAGGCCTTCGGGACCCACCCTCCTCTGCCTCCCTTGTCACCAACATGGGGGCTGTCCCTGGGGCTCTCCCTGGGGCCAGCAGGACACAGCCTGTGAGGGAGCAGCCAGAGGGACAGGCTCAGCAGCCCCTGTGTGTGGGCAGGTGACCTGCCTCTGGTGGCATAGGGGCCTGGCTGCATGCGGTAGTGAGGAGCCRGGGCCCAGCAAGGAAGGCCCTGTGGGGCTCTCAGGATGCTCCTAGCTGCAGGTCTCCCCAGCCTCTGCCTGCATCTTCAGCCCTTGGTCTGAGCAGCCCAAGTGCCTCCCACCTCCACCTTGCCTGACCCAGAGGGCTGAGAGGGGCACTGGGGCGCTGGCCTGCTGAGCCTCGTGCTGTCTGCCAGCTCCCGGGGAGGACCCTCTCAGAGGGAGAGCCCTGGCTTGAGGTCCCCAGCTGCCATGAGGTAGCGTGAGATCTGAACCCAAGCCCCAGTGTTGGGGGCTTGCTGTCTGAGCAGGCCAGGCACACGCACACACACGGAAGTCACCACGTGCCCTCGAACAGGCCAGGACCAGCTTGCTGGACCAGTGCTACTGTGCTGCCTGGGCTGGCCCTGGCCTGGGCTGGATGCCCCAGCGCCCTGCTCTGTGGTAGCAGGTGGTGCTGAGCCTGGGCCCTCCTGCCCACCTCTTGAGAGGGCCAGGACCTGCTCCCGCTCTCGGGGCCGCATGGCTGACTTGGGCCCAGGCACACTGTGAAGTCACCCATCTGAAAGCCTCTGGGTGGCTCCTGGGGACACCTGGGAGCACACAGTGGGGCTCTTCCAGGCCACAGCCAGCCCCTTCCCTGCCGCCGCTCAGCGGTCGAGGCCAGGCATGCTGCCCCGTTCCCGTGTGTCGAATGTCTCAGGCACGACTTGTAGGTCGCATGGGGTGGGAGGTGTGTTGATCCGTGGTGATTCTTGGCTTCAGCCTTGTGATGGGTTGGTGTCTGAGAAGGTTTTTGTGCCGTCTCTTACTGTCATCCAGAGTGGCACAGGAGCGATGGCCAGGTGGCTGCTGTGACTTATCCATGAGCAATGAGCAGCCAGGAGAATGTGTGTGGCCCCAGCGCTCCTTGCCCCCRGCCACCATGCTGGGGTTGGTGGGAGCCCGGGGGCATGGCAGGCCGGCTGCCCAGGGCTTGAGGGCACAGCCTGGGTGGCCACTGTTCCCTTGGGTCCCTCTCCCAGAGCTCTGCAGGGGCGGCAGTCCAYACAGCCCCAGCCTGACCCCTCTGGGGACCCTGCTCTGACACCTGTCTGCCATTCACTAAGGGACCCTGCCTATCTGTGGTCATCCTGGCCGCCACCACCATCCGGGACACCGCAGCAGAGCACCTTGGCTGGCAGTTCAGACTCCTCAGCTCTGGAGCCTGGAGGACCAAGGTCAAGTGCCAGCAGGGCCGGGTCTGGGAGGCTCTCCGTGGCTTGCAGGGCGTCCTCTCCCCGTGTCCTCCCCAGGCGGTGGTTCTGGGAAGCGCTCCCTGGTGTCTCTGACAAGGACACCAACCTTGTCAGGTCAGGGCCCACCCAGGACTTCACCTGACCTCAGCTGCTTTCCCAAGGCCCCATCTCCAAGTGCGAGGCTCGGGGGGCACCGTCCGTGAACTTGTGCTCAGGGCTTAGCAGTGGCCTGGGGCGGAGCCAGCCTGTGACCTGGCTTTGGGACCACTTGCCTCACTGACTGGGGTATCAGCATGCCTTGGGGTGGGCTGGGCGGGCAGCACGTCCTCCCCAGGGTCCCATGCTGTGTCCACGGCAGTCACAACAGATTGATCCCAGGACTCCCGTCCACTGTGATCCTCCTGGTCCATCAGAACTGGCAGGAGGGGTGGCCACTCCAGCTGGGGGCCTCCCTTATCTGTTTAGCTGACTGTCCCCAGCCTCCAGATCATCCTCCTCTGGAATGACCCCCAGACTCAGTCCTTGCTGGGTGAGACCTCTCCTGAGAACCTCCAGGGCCAGCTGTGGGGCCCCAGACACAGTGGCCATGTGACACTGAGGGCTGCTTGCCACAGTATTAAGGATGTCAACCCAGAAACAGCAGGCCCTGGCCATCCCTGCCACAAGAGCCCTGTGCACCTGCTCAGGGCAGGGCTGGGAGGCCGGCTGGGAGGCCGGCTGGCCGGCCCTCTGGAGGACGCCACTTCTGAGAGCGTGCCCTCGGCCCATGCACGTGCACCGCTGCTGCCCTGGTGGCCACCCTTCTGCTGCTTGGGAGAAAGTTCACTGAGCATGGATCCTGCACAACTGCAGCTCTAGTGGGTGCCAATCAGGAATCTGCGGTTTGTCTTTTCTAAAAGAAAAAGTTGAGGGAGCCCAGGAGCTGGGGTGTGGTGAGATGGCTGGAGCAGGGCTGGGTGGGTGCTGAGGTCCCCTCTGCCTGGGCAGGGAAGGTCTCGCAGCCTGCGCCTTGGGAGGGTGGCAGAGGGACCCTCCCACCTGCAGGTGGCAGAGCTGCAGCTGACACCTGGCTCTCTGCACCTCTGGGGCCACAAGGCCCATCAAAGCATGGTTCGAGGGGGAGGTGGAGGTGACCACCTGTGTCCTGGCACCCGGTGACATAGATCTCCAGCCTATTCTGAGGTGGTGGACTGAGGGGGTGGGCCACAGGACGTGGAAGTCCACGCAGGGCCACGCGGGTGGGGAGAAGCACGTCAGGAGCTGTGGTTGCTTCTGCGTTTGGCGCAGGGCACCTGTTTCAGCAGGAACCCCTGGGACAGAGGGGTGGCCCTCCTGGGCTCGGGGCCTTGCACCGGTGCTTTTTTTTTTAAATATAAACTTATAAGTTTTCTCCATTTTTTGGCATGGGGGTTGAAGTTGGGTGGAATCCTGTGTACACCAGGGCCCGTGTTCACTGCTTACCTGCATCCAAGTCACCCCTGGCAGGTGGCTGGCACCCCACCTGATGCCGGCTGTCCTTGCTCTGAGCCACGTTTGAGAGTGCAGCTCAGGCCACCGGCAGCGCCCTGGGAGGAGGGAGCGTTTTCTCCAACCTGAGACGTCACTGTAGTTGGCTGGAAGTTTCTGGATGGAAGAGTGCGAGCTTGGGGTCTCCTCCCCTGTGCCCTGCTCTGGGGCGTCTGTCACAGAGCAGCCCCCCTACAGACACAATCCAGGCTGGGTCTGCAGGGAAGAGAGGGTGCAGGTCCCCTGGGGGTGGGAGAAGTTGACTGGGGCCCGACAGCCTGTCTCACGGGAGCCAGCTGCCCCCGCCTGCCGCCTGGCCTCCACCAGCACCCACCCTGCCTTGTCCAGTGGCCACACCTGGGACTGAGGCCCTCTGGTCCTGGAGCCTTAGCCACTGGGGCAGGAGTGGCCCTGGGCTCAGCCCAGGGTGTGCAGGGGAGAGGCCGGGGGCCAGGGCTTGGCTGCTGTCAAAGCCACCACTTCCTGTGAGGCCTCACTCCTAGCACGGAGCCCAGCTCAGTACCTCCTGTGGACGGCCACCGTGGGTGCATCTGTGGAGTGCCTGCCCAGGGAGCCCTCCACCCTTCCCTAACAGAGGAGAGAGTGATGCTGTTCAGTGGAGCTGCCCCCAGAACCCTGGGTTAGGACCTGCTGGTCAGTGCCTCATGGCCGCAGAGCCTGGCTGGGGATCCAGCCCCAAACCAGGAGGGGGGTCTGGCTGGCCTCCCTGCCGACTGTCCCTGGGCAGCACTCCTGGAGCTGCCCCCATGGCTTCTCTGTGACACCCAGGTGCCAAGCACCATGGCCAGGGTCCAGCCCCGGGGACACCCCATGCGGGTGGGCAGCACTGACCGCCTCCTCTCTCCGCAGCGCGCATCATCAAGACAAAGCAGTGGTGTGAGATGCTGCCCTGCCTGGAGGGGGAAGGCTGCGACCTGCTGATCAACCGGTCAGGCTGGACGTGCACACAGCCCGGCGGGCGGATAAAGACCACCACGGTACGTGCCTCGTCCTCGTGTGCGGGCGTCGGGGGTGGGGAGCATCTGAGATGCCAGAGCCCAGGGGACGTGGCTGTGGAAGTGTGGCTATGACAGGACAGGTGGCAGCCAGTGGCTCTTTTCCTGGGCAGAGGCCACCGGCACTATCTCCTCCCCACCTCACTCTGGGGCCAAGGCCCTGGCAACCCGTCCCTGATCATGGTCACAGGGTGCACATGGAGGCCAAGCAGCTGGAAATGGAACCACCAGAAGGCTGGTCAGTGGAGGGTGACAGGTCACCCAGGCCACCACTGTTGGTGAGGGCTTCCCGCCTTCTGGGTCTGGAGTGGCATGGGTCCAGAACCTCCTGACCAGGGTGAGCTCTGCAGCCCACCTGGGGCCAAGGGGACATTCCAAAGAGTCAGGACTGGGAAGGGACGTTGTCCGAGTTCTCCAGATGTGGCACAGGGGCCACCTACAGACCCTGAGCACGCTGAGGGCAGCAGCTCCGTCCCACCTTCCCTCTGAACAGGTGGCCAGTGGACTCCTCTCTAGAGCTCCTGCTCACTAGGTCCCCAGAGCTGCTCTGCCCAGAGGTGGCTGGGAGCAAATGACTCTGGTCGTTYGTGGATGGTTCTTTGACATTTCTCCTCTGAGATCAACTGCCCAGCACACACCTGGGCACTGTGGGCAGCTTCCCCACTAGGTAGGGCTGAGGCCACAGAGCCCAAGTCCAGGTGGGTGTGGCCCTGGGTGCCAGAAGGCAGGTTCACAGGGTGTGACCTCCATCTCTCCCCCCCTGTCCGGCTCCTCCTCGCGCATGTCAAGGGCTGAGGACCCCAGCCGCTGTTGTGACCTCCCTGACCCAGGCCCCATTCCCTGAGGTCAGGGAGGTCTTTGGCTCTGAGGAAGGATCTGGAAAGCCCCACAGGTGTCCAGGACTCTTCTGGGGACTGCACCTGGCAGGGGGCTGCAGCCACTCAGACTAGACCACAGGAGCGTCTCCCCTTTCCTGCATGGGACGGAAGCCGGATGGGCTCTTCTATGTGTTCTAGGGGCCGTTTGGTGTGGACACTCTGGGCACAGCCATGACCACCTGGTTCCATCGGCTGGGCAGGTACACAGGGTCTGAGCACAGTTTGAGGCTGTAAAGCCACAGTGTCCCACTGCAGCCTGACGACCAGCCCTCAGCAAGCTGGGAGGGCAGTGCTCAGGTCCAGCAGTGGCTCTGAGGCCTCCCGCGTGGGTGGGAAGTGCACTTGGCCTTGAAGGCAGCCTGGGTACCAGCCTGGGCACAGCTGTCAGGAAGAGCACTGACCGCCAGGGGCTCGGGCCTCCCCAGGGCACGAACAGGACAGCAGAGGACTGTCCTCGGGAAGACGCAGGGGTTTGCCTGCGGGGAGCAGGAGCCCTGCAGATGTAACCACACCTGGAGCCCAGGGTGACCTCTGGGCCCTTGGCAGACAGAGGCCTGGAGGTGAAGGACCCCGTGGTGTCCAGACCCTGTCCTGAGGCATGGAGGGCATGGACATGCTCCCCTCCCTCCTGGCCTCAGTTTCACCATCATGAGCCTTGTCAAGGTGGCCAAGCATTCTGGGGTGTGACTGGAGGCCAAGCCTGATCCGCAAGGCCAGTGTGGGCTGGGAACAGCCCCCGGGTAGCCACGGGTGAGGGCTAGCTCTCCTCCCCTCCCCTCCGTCCCCTCTCCCCTCCTGTCCCCAACGTGGAAGCTGCTAGGGGCACTAATTATTGTGATGAGACTCATGAGACATAAAATCCTGAGTGGCACTGGGCATGCTCACAGGGTGAGCACCCACTTGTCTAGTTTCAAAACACCATCTTCCCCTGAAGTAGCCCTTCCCCATGAGCTGGCCAGCCTCTGAGCATGGCCCACTGCCCGGGACCTGCAGCCCCCACTTGGCAACTCCAAATACGTTCATCCATAAAGCCCCCAGTGCGAGGGACCCACCCTGGGGGTGGGGTGACAGCGGCCCAGCACGTCAGGACCCTGGGCAAAGCCCCAGTGGGTGGGCTTGGTGGTGGTTTCCCTCCCTGGCCTCGGGTGCGACCTCTGCAGGGTCAACCGGTTGCAGAGGGAAAATGCTGGGGACCTGCGTCTCTGCTGGACAGGGCAGGACCTGGCCCTGGCCCTGCTTTCCTGAAGAGGGTGCTGCAGGCATTGAGGAGCAGCCCTGGGCGGTGCTGGGTGCCAAGTGGCCTGGGGTGACTTCAGATGCTCCTCGCAAGGGGCACACCATCCTGCCAGGGCTAGGCCACGTTACGTGGGGCTCCCCACCCCGGGAGTCACACCGCAGGGGTGGAGCCCGTGTCCCGTGGGTGCCCAGGGGCGACTGCGTCCTCATGTCTTCGCTGTGGTCACATGGGGATGGGACCGGCCTGCCTGCCTCCTGCGTGCCCCTCCCAGTCCTTCTGAACCGAGTTTTTGAACCAACTCGTCGACAGCAAGTCCCCACTTGTCTCCCTGCCGYGGACGGAGCCAGTGTGGCCACTAGCACGGCCAGAGATGGGCCTCCCTGAGTGGTGGGCTTCCCTGGGAGGGGGTGAGCACCCATTCCTAGAGGGTGGCACATGGAGGAGGGCCACACGCCAGGGACACTGAGCAGGTACAAACATCCTTACCACCAGCAGCAACAGCTGCACTGTCCAGTGCTGAATTTACTCACGGAAGGAGTGGACAGTGCTGGCTCTCATTCCTTTGGCCAYACAGGCCTGAGCTTCCGTCAGAGAAGAGGTGTTTGGACACCTTAAGTGGCTGTGGGTGGCCAGGAAGCCAGGGAGAGGGGGCTCACACCTGCCAGGCTGCCCCACGCCAAGCTGGCCCGGGCTCGGCGTGAGACGGTGTCTGTCAGCTCGGGAGCCTGAGACTCTTCCAGCTGCCCCTTGGTAGATGCATCTGGGGGCCTCCTCCCTCCCCTGAGGGCCTCTGGATACCAGCAGGGACATGGCAGGTGCAGGTGCTGTCCAGGAGCAGGTGAGGGCGAGTGGGTGGGGGAAGGGTGCCACGACCCCAGCTCTCCAGGTCCTTCACTCCTGGAGGCCCAGGCTCCCCACACGGTGACAGGCCCTGAAGTGGGGAGCAGGTGCACGGGCTCCAGGCCACCTTCCTCTGGCTGGGACCAAGCATCACGTCCCCAGTGCTGAGCTCCGCTTGGCATGGGCCCAGGATCCCAGGGTAGGGATCTCGTTGGGTGGCGTGGGCGGTGGCCAGGGTACAGGTGGACCTGGCAATCTGCCAGCCGTCTCCTGCGTCCCCGGGAGTGCAGAAGCCCAGCTCCTCCTGGGATCTCTGGCCTCTGGCCATCGGTTTTTAAGCTTTTTAACGGTTGAGCTCTTGAGCCAGACTCAGAGCCGGAGCTTGTCATTCTAGCTCCATGGTGGCTTCCTGACCCTACAGGGGTAAATTAACACCCTGGGTTCCACAGGTCACCAGAAATTGGCTTTCTGATATGAGGGTTTTCTCATCAATTGGCTTCAGGAGGCCCCATGACTACGTGGTGGCCACTAACTCCATCCCAGGGCTGTTCCTGGGGTAGACCCTCCTCCTGCCAGTGCCCACCCCACGGGCGGCACCTCCTCGTGTCACCTCACTGTGAAGCACCCGGCCCCACAGTGTGTCCCTGCTGCCTTCACTCCTTTGTCCCCAGAGTGGGCTGCTCAAAGCTGGCCCTGGCCCTGGGCCCCTGCAGCCCTCCTGAGGCTACGCCAGGCCGCGGGACGGGTGGATTAACGGATGGGCTGCGCCGGCCCACACAGGCTGAAGCTGGCACTTCCAAGATCATTCTCTCTTAAAGTGCCGGCCGTAACCCCATTAGTGGGTCGTGGGCATGATTTAGTGGCTCATGCTCAGCGTTTAAGAGGAAGAAATGGAATCAAAATATCAGAGAGCTCCCAGGTCACCAGGGCAGATGCCACTGAATGGAGCACGTGCAACACATCCCCCRAGGTGTGCTGTCCTTGTAGGTTCTGGGAAAGTGGGGAATCCGCTGTCCTTGGTGGACTCAGGAGACAAACTGGCCTCTGGGGCRGTTCTGTAGCCCCTGCCTCTTGGCCTGGCGTAGCCCTGTGGACACCTGTCCACCTGGGGCAAGGTGAGTGGTGGGCCCTGCAGGTTCTCCCCAGGGTGGGAGCAGCCTCCTCCCCTTGCACCCGACTATGGTTCCTGCCCCTGGAACAGGCCTTAGGCAGTCCCGTCCTCAGTTCTGCTGTGGCTTCTGCAGCCCCCACCAGCAGGGATCACAGAGGGGACCGGAAGGGAGAGGAGGGACCCAGGTGCAGAGACTTGTGGCTGGGGCTGCAGCGGCAGGTGTTAGTGTCAGAAATATTCCAATCACTGTTTATCTTGCACATTTCTGTAAGTTCATGGATGGCAAGATGCCGGACGGTCAACCAGACCATTGCCTATCTCAGAATAAACCGGCTAGGTTGGAATCCATCCTTCAAATTAGCAATGAAGCACCGAGCACGCCGCCCCAGGCCAGAGTCCCCAGGGATAGCAGACCCCAGCTACCTCTGAGCATGGGTGGGCCAGGACATCAGATGCGGCAGGTCCAGGGTGGGCACTGAGGTGTGGTGTGGAGGGTCATCCCAGGGTCTCTGTTAGACCCCAGGCATCTGGTACAGGTCTGCTGGATGCCCGACGGCCAGCCAGCAGCGGCCACAACACAGGTAACTCACTCTTTCCCCTCATCCTGCCTTGGGTGGGAGGCTGGGAGGGCCAGGCAGCCTGGTCGCCAGCCTCCTGGGTGCCCTGGGGACGAGATGCCTCATGTACCTTAACACCGTCTGTAAAGGGTTTCCCTATCAGTTGTTGGTTGTCAAGATCTCGGGGACAGCGTCTCCTATATCCGTCCCCGCAGCCCTGCTCGGGAAGTGAAGCCAGCCTCAGCAGTAAGGACCCCTGTTCCTGGTCACATGGCTGGCTGTTCCAGCAGACACTTGCCACATCCACCCACTGCGTGGGACAGCACCCACCCCACCCAGAAACCATGCCCCTGGAGCTT